TATATATATTTCAATTTGAATTTCAACATAGGAAATGCATAATCCAAATTGATCAGTAGTGCTGTGACGAATCTGAGACAAAATTGAGAGTTGAAGGAGGAAGAATTTCAGAGCGGTCATTTGCTATACTCAGAATGTTCTTTCACTCATCCACTGATGTGAACTGTATTCATTCATTCTGAATGATTTATCACTGACGATTCAACGCCAGTGAATCGCTATTTTCAGAAACTTATGCAACTACGATGTGAACAATTTTTCTTGCCATAATTTAATTTTACATATCTGTTATTTCACTAACACTGAATAGAAATGCAGTTCAGTCATTACCGTACAAGTTCGATGTGGTATCTGAGAGGATGATCAGCATTCAGTTCTTCTGGTGGAGTGTTTTGCATCATACCAACAAGCTGTTCAAAACTGGCGCTATCCGAATAGAAGATACGCACTTCATCGGATGCCGAACAAATCTGAACAGGTTGAACTAATTATTTAGAAATGAACGTTTTAGGAAAAGTGTGACGACGTGAAGAATCCAGTAGTCGATCAGTAAAATAACTTGGAGTCATCACTAGCAATGACTCAAAGATTGACATTGATTCTAAGTGACAACGAGACAATCATCTATCTGTTATTATGACGACGCGCCATAATTAATTCACGAAATGGTACAAATAATAGTACAAATAATACGAAATAAGCATTGATTCCTCCATTGCTTACTTCCTGAGCTACTTTTTCTTGTGATGATTCGATCTCTTTCTCGTAAACGCACACGACACACTGCAAGAATTCGAGGAATGTCGCATTTCTCGCCTTGTGCTCAATAAGTCTAACCACGTGCGCGATCAACTCCTCAGAAACGTTTTGCGATAAATCACGATTGTTCTTGAATATTGCCACCAATGTTGCCACTTCCTCCACCTGAACAAGGCAAGATATCATCTGCGATTGTCAGAACGGAACTCGATCGTAGCATTCGATGAAGTAGTCATTAAGCTAAAGTCGCATGCGTGAGTCTCACCTGTGACAACGAACTTCGTTCAGAGTTGAATGATGATATGAGTCAACTCATAATCAAATTTCAAACGAACCGTATCTACTCGTAAACATCCCTCCTTCGCATCTGTGTCAATTGTGATGTGCTTTTGCAAACGGCTTTGATTTTCTTTATTATTGCGACAAAAACTTCGCAGAAATTCGTGACTCAAGGTGAGCAGTTTTGGCATTTCCATGTCGTTTTTCTGCAGTCAAAATGAATCACAATACTTGAGAGACAATAAAAGAAATTTTCTTTTGCAATTCGAAGCTGAACACGGAGAATCGCACTGAAGAGACTGACACAAACCAATCAAATAACTTTTTCGAGTGCTTTCGTATACAACATAACAATTATCGCCTTGAATGAACACAAAATATGGAAAGCTATCAATAAACAAAACCAACTTTGTCGTAAGGAACTGAGAGAAATTCAAGCACGAATTCATGTACGCGCATATTTCGTAGCAATTGCTGATTCATCACATCCGGACGGCCATCTTTGAAGCAAAGCTGCTTTAAGCGAAACAGAATCTGAATACGCAAAATCACACTTTCAATGTCTACATAGGAATCGAACAATTAACACTCAATCGCACACTACTAGTTCAGTTATTACTTTAACTGTACAAATTACACATAAGAAAATGAATGCTGAATATATCACAAAATTTTGACTAATAGACCTGTCTTATCAACGGATAACCAACGAGTGGAGCTCTGTCCGATAGTTCGTAAAGAGCGGCTGCCGCATTAGCACGATCTTCGCCAAGTAAGAGCTGAAAATTGTTTCTTGTTCAAAGCAAATCATTCGAGCGAATCGCTTCAAAGTTAACCGAACTTCGTTATGTGCTTCTAAAATCAGTGACGTGCATAATTTCTGAGGAACAGAAAATAAAAATGTCCGAGTGCAGTCAAATTTGTACTTTTGAAGTGTTCATTTTTGAACATTGACAGTGTTTGTTGAAAACGGCATTTTTCTATAGCAACAGTAGAACGCATCAAAGTATTTTCTATAATACTTCTGATTGCGGATAAAAGAAGAATGCGAAATAAAAATGGTTGGAATGGATACATGAACTAAAGATGACCTCGTGAAGTAATCTAATGCAGTCATCACGAGTTGGTGAATAATGCTGATCAAGTTTTTCGACAAGTGAACGAAAGCATTCGTCGTGATGAAATGCACGAGGTGCGTTTAATCCGCTGTTTTGTAGTTGTTGCACGGTGCTGGGTCTGCAATGCTTAATCTTACTGTGAAATTTATGCGACTGCACATTATGAGAGAATAGAAACACTTCATTTCAAAATGAACTGACAGTGAGGTGTTTACATTGAACAGCGATAAATGAAGGAGTGAACAAATTTAAAATGCAAAGGTACCAAATGTGCTGCAATTGCAATGCCGGTCTTAAAGTTCTTTTTTTTTGTACATCATTTTGAACGTTTGGCAAGAAACTGCACCAACCAATGAGTGGTGATACGTTTAGAATGATGGAACAGAATGATGAGAAACAAAAATATCACCTCTGCAGTTCATCAGTACTCAAACTGAGACGCATATCTTCCAAACTTTGATTAGTGCTACTACCAGAAGCACGTTTATCTGCATGTACCCACAACTCACTTTTCTCAGTTAGGATTTTCAAAATGAATAAATCACGATCGACCTGCCGATAGTTCTCCACATCATCGTTAGAAACCAACAATTGAACCTGAAACAGTTGTCTATTTATCTATAATTTATTTTATTTAACATCTATTCATTTCACTAATAATTTATCCATTGCACATGTTTCGGCTAAAATCACATGAAGTATTGGACAATTTAAACCTTTAAATTTTACACTATAATGTTCCACAAATATGATGATTATGAAGAGAACGATTAACAAAGCATTATGCCGAAAGCACAATGTTTCCAATTTAAAAAAATTCAATGTACCTGTTTCAGATCCTCGACCAACTCTTGATATTGTGTGAAATGACGAAATAGAACTTTAAGTGCGGTACTGGTCAATTTCGAGTAATCACTCATCGTCATTTGTAATAAGATGCGAAGCAATTGCTGACCACCTTCACCATCAAAATCTAGACTGTCTTCTGTCTTTTGAAACACTTCTTCATACAATTCTGATGCATGTGCTTCACTCAATTCACCTACTAAAAATTCAATAATTTAACTTACATATTCTATTAATTTAGAAGACTCTGAATGTAAGGAGAATAATCTGAAGGATATGTTCTCAAGAAATCGTTGACATAAAATTGTAACGATTTTTTTTATTATTGTCTGCGACTGAATGTAAAAATCTGCTTCAATTCATGCGATATTCATGAATACATAAATCTAGCTATAAACAATGTATTGATAAGAGCGATCAAATGATAGTCGAAAACAGTTTTGGTTTCCACTTTTATGTTCGGTAAGCAACAGTGATAGAGAGAGAAGGAGAGAGTTTTGAAAGTGTTGCGCACAATTGAGTGAGCCACTGGAAATTCAGGCAGTTTCTGCAGAGTTGATAAAGTTCTCTCCATTTGTGTTGGATTAATTCATCCGAAAACTTTATGAACGATGTACGATTAGATGTGACATACTGAAATTCGAAGTGAGTTCGCCCCATTCATCGCAAGGAAAGTGTCTTTTAAACCAAGATAATGCCACAGTAATACGATAATCCCTTCGAACATCCATTATAAACTGCAGTACATTCATTTGGTACCAAACACTTGAATTGAATATGTAAACCATCTCATACATGCTCCAGTAATTCAACCTTGGCAATGAATTTTCAAACTTCAAATAATACGACTGCCCTTTCTAGCTGTCGCATGTTTGTTTTTGATCGTCATTAGAATGTTATATCGCTCTTCAGAGAAAATGAAGTTATCAGTAATATCACGAATGATTTTTAAACTTCATTAATCGTTTAAGTATGATACATATAATAATAAACATGAGTCATCAATGAATCAAAAACAATTTGACAGTGTTCATATGATTATAGGAGAAGTGAATAAACCTTAATAATTACGAAATAATTAGCGGTCTTAAAAGTGTTGCTTTTCAGTATTTTAGTCTAAAAGTATTTTTCCTTGAAGATCTATAAAAACTGATTGGATGCTATTCACTCACTTGTAATATCTCAACGACGATGAGTTTGGTTTGTAGAATCATTTCTTTGCTTTCCTTAGCGCGAGCATTCTCTTCAGCATCTAATGTATCGCTGCCCAATGAATGTGCACTTGCTAAACTGGCATTGTGCATGATGCCAACGCTCATCACGGAATATGTGACTTGTCGAAATATTGCGTTTGTTGTTTTATTGCATAACTTCTTCACTGAATTTCAATTTCTATTATCAATCCACTTCAATAATGATTCTTTTTCGGAAATACTTCGTAGTACGCTCAAGATATCAGCTGCTTCATAACAAACAGTTCATTGGAAGATTGAGAAAACCAGTGCATCATGTGATCATAACACATATACGATCGCACTCTTACCTGCTGCTTCTTTTGGACTACTGTCTGTTATAGCCAACAGGTTTCGTGCCAGCTTCAGTAATTCTGCGAAACTGTAGAAACCAAACTGTGCAAGAGCTCTAGCCAGTGTAACTATCTGAAGTTTTTTGTTTGATAAATTCCACGTACAATCCCTGATTTTATAAGGTAATCAGTCAATTCAGTATCCCCGTTTGTCGAGACAATCGTCCCAATTTGTTAATCCAGTCCCAATTCTGACACTTTTTGAATGCAATGTATCAATCAACTGTTCAAAAAACAGTGCATGCGATTATCAGCCAGAGGTCACATTCTCTCCAGCTCTAGGCATCTTTCTATGCATCAGCTCTAAAAATCCTAATAGACACCTTACTGACAACAAGTATTTTTCATCAATTGTTAATGTTATTCTGTTGAGCTGGTTATACCGAATCAACATTCAAAAAAGTTATCTTCAGCAAAAACGAATTCAATTCAAACAAGGTTCTGTGTTTCAATTTCAGAAGTTTAAACAAAATTATTAGGTACTTCAAAAGTTAGACGATTTTGTTCCAGCTTTGCTGCACTAGCGCTGAGCACTGGTTCACCTCTTCTTGTTGAACTTCTCAACTCGGCCAAATATTCATCAACAGTGGTTAAAATTTTCTTGAAAACTTCTCCACCAGTTCTGACTCTGCCACCATCCACATAGCCTACCACAGAGCGGTTCGAATTGCTATAGTCAAGAGTAGTTCACGCAATGGAAATTATACGTGTATTTCATACATTCAATTTGTTCATTTGCATGGTTGTACCGAATTGCTGACGACTTAATCATTTAGCTGTTATCTGTTTCATTCACTTTCTTTATTGTCTATTCATTCATTTTATTCCTGCAAATCAAAAAAACGATCACCTGTTGACGGAAACGTGCTCAGCAATATCCCTCCAAAGGCGTGCATGCTGCACAGCAGAAAGAGGTGAACCACGTACAACATGCAAATGCAACATCAAACGAGTGAATGATGCGCGTAACTCTTGCGGTAATCTGTTGTCGGACATGCTTCTGAAATGATATTGCGGTTTGCATTTGTTTACTTTCATCTTGAAATTTTAAAACAAATTCATGTGGATGTAGCTTATATATGGAAGAGGTGTGTTTTACGTATGAAGGCAATTTTAAGATGTTTTCTGCCTCTAGATCATAAATTGAGCGGAGCGTTTACCGCAGAACTAAATCAGCAGGTAATTCAGTGCTCAAGTTCAGTAGACGCCTTTCAGGTGGCGGATCAATAGCAAGATACTGTTGTTCTTGACACATTTGCGCCAACAAATCCAACTGGTGTCTGCAATTGATGAACATTATTACTGAGTCAATTCAGCTTATAAATTGATCACTATAGCTTTTCCAATACTGGATTTTATACAAGCTTTTACAATTGTTGCCTTTCTGAATCTGAAGAAAGAATAAAGTTTCAATTACATGGATCTCAAATGCAAAATGTACTCAAAAGATACAAAAGGAGTATAGCTTCGATGTAAAAAGTATCAGACCTATAGTAATCAAGCATTTCGGAGTCCTCAGTATTACCAGTCGTTGCGCTTTCGGCCACATTTACTAAAGCTTTACAATATCGATCAGGCCAGCAAATATAAACTTCCTTAGTTCCCTGTAATCATTATAACTATTTATTAGCTTCAGTAATTTGAATTTTTGTTCTGTTCTATGTACTTCTCAGGACTTATGAACACAATTCTTTTGTTATGTATAGTCGCTTTCTAAAACTAACGTGGCTATATACGCACTAAGCTACGCTATGAGCTGATTCTTTCATCGAACAACTGCAATATTCACGAATCATTTTTCAGTACATTCTTTAAGCGCTACTCAATATGGATTTTAAGTCAATGATTCTCATCGAGGGATTACTTCTCGTCTTTAAATCAATCATGTACGAATGCTTATTCGTCTCTGGAACAAGAAATATGTTTAATCTGATCGAACTAACCCCACAATCGGCTATTTCTGTCTGCATGAAAATGTCTCTGTTCGTTTCACTTAATACACAATTACAAATGAGTTCTTGAATCTTTTTATTTGCTTCTCCTCTACACACGCACAAATCAGCCAAATAATCGAGAAATCTGAAAAGCAGCAACATTCAACAAGCGATAACGTTCATTTCAGAATTTCTGTCACTTAATACCCGCATTCATTGACGAACATTTTTGAGCGTTGAACGCACTTGACGTTTAAAAAAATCTTGCGTTGACTTGCGGTATTTCAATTGTGACCCAGAGTAATGAATACCGTTGTAGTCGTACAGGTAAAAAACGAGTATCCGAAAGTACCAAAGAAAGTATACGAAAAAAATTTACATGAATATTGGAAGAACACGTTAGAAAGATGGAAAATCTTGCAAACAATTTTCTACTGTAAAGTGGTTTCCCGCTTCATGTATGAGAAAACTACGGTGATCACTGGGTTTTGTTTGAACGATCTTGTATTTGATCAATATCCATTCACAAATCCTATCGCTCATTTTCTCCTAACATAAGTATGTTTATGAAACATACTTAGGTATGAATTCATAGTATGAAACATACTATGAAAGAAAAAAACATATCATAGTAGGATCTAAACGGATAGAAGATAAGATAAATGGATTAAAAATCAGAACGCATAATGCATTTGTCTCTCATATCAACTGAAATAAAGATAGAAGTATTGTTTTATCACTTTCCGAATAAGATTGAGTCGAGTATTCTTACAACTTGCAACCATTCAGAATAATTCCGCTGTGCATCTGGTTAAGTGGTATAACAAAACAATTATTCACGGTATTGAAACGAAACACCTACTTGCCAGCTCTATTATTACGCACCAATTCGACGAAACGTTCGACGTGTGGATTTTTGACGTATTTTTCCAGTAATTTCGGATTATTATGTAAAACAGCAGTCATCGTATCTTCAGCCAATAAATCGAAACCTATCTGCTCTTGGATTTGACCAAATTTCTCCGCTAAATGTTCTTGATTTTTTCGATAACCAGCTTGTGAATACCTATAACACAACAAGTAGCTACCATATAGATGTTGGCTTTCATTTTGTGCTACAGAAATAACTATTGGTGCAATTTTCAAAAAGTATTCACACATATCACAAAAGATCTTCGGAATCTTGAGAATTATTACAAAAGTATTTATCATCTTGCACTTTGTTGCAAACTAAAACTGACGAAGCCTTTAATTAGAGGAAGCCGCAACCCTCAGCAATGTGTTCAGTTGGCTTCCGTAACAGGCTACTGTTCGTGCTTATTGTACGATTACCGAACAGTTTAAGTATTCCTTAGTGAATCAAGATTCGCTTCATTCGGATCAAACGATGACAATAACCTCAATAACGAATAACAAAGCTGGAACATTCGTTTAAATACTTCGTTGCGTTGCTCAGCAAGTTCTTGAGGGGAGTTCAACAGTGGACCTATCTCAGTGACTCCTTGTCGAGGAAGAAAAGGTGCTCGTAGGAGATCGAATATCTTAATTCACCATATATGAAAGTTTAATTTGTAAGTCGTTAGATTTGATATAACGAATTTTCTTCGGAATTTAACATATTTCGGTATAGTTTCGAAGATCATATTTGAATAACTGATATAATTTCATGAAAGTTCCATTCTCACAAAGTAAAATTCATTTTTTTTTCGCAAAGAATAATTTTGCGATTGTTACCGAGAATAGTGGAATGATCGATGGTTGAATTGTTAGGGATAGTTTGAGGGGAACTCCGAACAGAAGGCAAATAAGATGGGACTGGATGAGACGTGCTCAAAGCAGGTAAAATTGACAGGCAATTAAACCAGCGGTGGACAAGTTTTCGAAAGGTGCAATACAACTTGTCTAGAACTTATTTAAAACGATAAGCATAAACCAGTATCAGAATAGATCGTACATGCTTTCAAGTAGATTTTTGTCTGAATCTGAACCGAGCCTCACCGCCACGATAAGCCCCAACCGTAGAACCTAACACTCATAATTCTGCACGAGCTAACTATCAACTACACAGTCGCTGCTTAAATTCCAACTGAGTCGATTCCATTAAAAAGCATACTTTGCTTATTCAAGCAACTGATGACAGGTAGTTTCAAGATCAAACCTGATCAAGGACACCTTGCTCACGAAGCAGTTTTTGTCGATCACGAGACGGCTTGAAGTCGATGATCCTTAATGGATCAATCATGTGATTCGTTTCATTTGTGACAAAATAGATACATTCGATGAGCAACTGAATTGTGACACTGAAACAAAATCGTTTTTAGTATAATTGAACTGCAAATTAACCGTCACTTTGTTATTGTACGGTCAACTTTTGAGGAAATTCATATCGTAATTGCTAAACTAAAGTCTTGTCAAACACTACAACAGAAAGAAATAGTTAAGGAACCGCGAGAATTCAACAAGTTGTTATTCATGAGAATACTAGTTGATGAAGAAACATCAACACAGTCCTGAAGGACATTATTGTTGAGAAGGTACGAAAAAGACTGCTGGACAGCGCTATTAAAAGTCATGCTCACATGCACTGACGAGATGAAATTCGTAAAGTGTACGCAGATAAAAGCAAATTCGAAGCAAATTAAAACGCATCGGATATATTCAACAAACTTTAATGGTTCTTTGCTGATTATTTTTCCAGTCCTGATAAGAGCAATAAAATTCTGAAGTGCTCTGCAAGCATCGTTGGCAAAATCTAGATCTCGAACTTCGTCCGGAGAAACTGGTAGCAATGCGAACGTTTCCTTATCGATTTTGAAATCTTCACTCACCACCTTCACCCAACCTTTTTCGTTTTTGCTGAAAGTAATGAGTATTTGAGTGGTTAATGATTGTGCTGCAATTATATCAGTAGAAAGTTTGTGAAAGAAACGATACCTGAAATGATATAAATTATGCTTTTCAGTTGGATCCATTGTATGAATCCATGTTTTCGTAAGAACGTGAAAAAGACGCACAAAAGTGCGTTGTGGAACACGTGCCTCCATCTGAAACATATCAATTTGTTTATCCCGGCAAAAAAATCTTTTACAAAGAGAACACTAAAATCTATCCAGTTCTACTGTTTGCATCTTCATCATGCATGCAAGAAAGGTGTTATGTTATTTTATTATTGTAGACATGATATGAGGAGAGATGTAATCATCTATTTTGATGTAACGAGGACTGCCGAGTGAACTGAGATTCACTTCCTTAATGTATCGCAATCGGTAGATTGTTGAATTTCTCGAAATGAAAAAAAAACAAATTCTTTGAAAGAGAGAAGAATTTATGAACTAAATTTATGGAAATGTGCGAAAATATTCAATGCCCTCAATGCTAATGAAAGTATGACAGGAAATTGAAGAGAAACTCGCAAACAATTGCGGAAGGGGATGAAAGATACTCAGATTGACGAATCAGAACAGTTTACGAGAAAAACGTTGAAGGATGCTATAAGAAGACTGATCAGTAAATAATGGACAAGATCGCATTCAGCAAGCAGGTGAAATATCTAATATCGCACACGTTTGGTAACATTTCGAAATTTGCGTACCGCTGTTTCAGTGTTGTTGAAATCGCACTGAAATGAAAGCAAAATTCGACAAAAACAACCTCATCGTAATGGATTTTTATATTCATCAATAGTAAATGTGAGCAATTTTAAGTTTCGAAAAAAATGTCTTAAATATATTAGCATAACTAATTTAAAAATGTAATAATGCATTATTGATGAACTATGAACCAATGAATGATTATCAACAATAAATGGCATTGGCAGATCCTTTATTGTTAGATCAAATGAGAGTGATATATAAAGTTGGAAATTTATTCAAGACATAGTTTTCGTTGTTGTTCAGCATTTTGCTTTTGAATAATTTCAAACAAAAAATTCAGTATCTCGTTGACGAATATAAAGCAAAACTAACTTGTAGAGAAAGCAATAAGAATTTTTGATTTTGTCTATGAAAAGCGGATAAGCCAAAATCATTTTTATATTTTACGTGAATGTTGCTTGCAAACATTCATAAATGTTAATGGAGCTTTTTTTGGAGTATTATATCAGCCAACATTGGCGACGAACATCGTTAAACTCAACAATTCAATTTTTGGTCACTAACTATAAGAGAGGAATCGATTTATTGACACTGTTCGAAGATTTTTTGCTCTTTAAAAAGAACAAACAAGTGCAATTAAGCATCACTAATTTGAATCGCTAGCACACATACAAAAGCATGTCGAAATGCAAAACTACAATCGCAGAATACGAGTTTTCTCAAAAGATACAACAAAAATTTTCGTTCGAACTTATGCAATCTTCAACCACAAATACAACAGTTGATTAAGTACTGAAATATTCCAAAAAAATATATAGTTGTTCGGCTGAATATAAGATGGAAGTGTTTTGAAAAACGCTAAAGCTAATCGAATTTTTCTCGATGTTCTTGGAACTATAACAATTGAATGTGTTTTCTCGCAAGCTGGAAAAAAAATGACTGTTAAGAGGTAAGAGAGTCAATCCTAGTATGATTGTTACTTCCAACCAAAACAATAGCATCTTCAGTTTGGTAATGGACAAGATGAAGACGTAAACGGTATTAAAATTCACGCCTGAAAACTAGGGAATAAAAGGAACTTTCCAGGTGTGCTATCAATTAGAGTAGGATTAGTACGATGTGCTATCGTTTTCACTCGTTCACTAATAATGCTATAAACCATAGTGTTTCTAAAGCAAGCGTGCGATTGACCTGAAAAAGTAAATGATAATGATCTGCAAGTAGAATTAGCATCTTAAACAGAAAGAAACCTTTGTGAGCGCACACGGATCGAGCATAAAGACAATCGACTCGTCGTTTTCTGGTTGCTCAACATGCTTTGGTACCAGGTAATATTGATCGTCAACGTTGCAACTTCCATCATCACGTTCCACTGCAAAAAAAACACTTCACAAATATTTCGGAAAGAGGATCCATCCTGTGGTTTATGATATGATTAAATGTAAATTGAAGAACTGAATTTTAATTAGTTCTTCAGTGGTCTTTAAACACTAAGAGAATTTCAGCAGTTAAGAGACGACACTTTGTGTGAAACCATCTTTGGATGAAAACATCCATAATTGCGAATTCTTGCGCCTAATGCTAAATAATGGCTTAACGCATATTTATATGCATTCAAAGTTGCTTTACTTCATACATTATGTTTATACTGAAGAAATTTTTTATCTTGATGAAGTCATTTTGGAGCCATCATAAGATTCACGGTATCAGCAAGTGAAGGATTACGGTAGAATGTCCGCTTTTTTACCCGAAAAATTTACAATAACTCAATTTTTTGAAATTTTCATTCGGTATTTTTTGACGCCAAATAATTTCTAAATTTCTCGTAAAAGGTCATAGATTCTTCCAACTTATCTTTCCTCTTCGATGAGGAATTCAAATTAACAGCGAATTAAAATGATTCGATCAATCAGCTGCACCTGGTGAACAAAGATTTTGCTGCACAGAAAGGTATTCGGGTGTTCTCATCGAATTATTGCTAAGCTTCTCAACGCTGAGAAACATATCGGTGGCTAGATGCTTGAAACGGAATCGTTCCATCCATGAGGCCGCACTACCTCGATACGCTTCTGCATGCACCACCTTAAAATATCACCGAAAACCATTTACAATATCATTTTGTAGCCGGCACTTTATAAAGCAACTGATGGAATTACAATAATGATTGCACTTCATCAAATCATTCTGTGAATCATTCTAGAAGTGCTTGTAACTGTTAAACTTCACAAGAAATGCGATATTTCAATCAACCATAAAACATCAAGATATTATCGGCTAATATTGATGCAGAATGAAAAGAATGCACATCGAAGAATCAATGTATAAGTGACTTTAAAAATTGATGAATGAGAGGAAAGGTTTCATGACGACACTCTAATGAAGAGATAATTATTGGATTCACACAGATGATTTTCTTGCCTGTACTTCCCAAAGAGCACGAGATGATGTCGCGTCAGCAGCGGACGGTCGATTTGTCATGCGCAAGAATGCAACATCAATGCTCTTCTTCGGAATTGTATCCATTGTTAGAAAGGTTTGCTGATCAGCATGGAATAATCGCACTACATCACCCTGAACTTCTCGATGTGACTGAGGAGTTCTCATACGTCAGCAGTTGAATTTCATTTATTGTTTTAAATAGTACTGTAAATGCTAATTTTGAAAAAAAAAAGAATCTTGCCAAAAAATTTTCTGCAGTTTTATGAGCGCTGAGTGTGTTTCGCTGCTAAAAATTTTTCGTTCAATCGAAATGCAAAAATGGGAGAAATTCACTGTGCGATCATCATGGAAACAACGTGAAATGAGTGTATGAAAAGGAGAAGATCAAATTATGCCTATTCCCATACTTATTCTTCAAATAAATTTTCCTGTTGTGAACTGTGTATTTTCAGTTGATAGGTTTCGTTTGTGAGGGAGGATCTCCAAGAGAAATGCATTTTATTAATGTCAGTCAACGCATGATAAGGCATATACATGTGAGCAAAACCAGTGGATTAAAAACTGACCGATTTCACGATATCTGGCTGATTTTCGTCGAACTGTAAGAACATGAACACTTGCCATTCGGTCAGTTCATTAAGGCAGTTCACTTCACATGCGCTCGGATGATCCGAAAGCCTTTAAACAATTTACCTTCAAATACTGATTACGCTCTACTTCTGCAACTACTGATTCAGCAATAAAAATTTGTAACTAAATATCCCAGCAGATGGCTTTAGCAAATAATTGCGAGAATAACAACGGTAGATTACTCAAAATGAACTGATATTTTTAAAACATCAAATGTTAACATCAAGGTAATATGAGCTGGTGACAGTTAATGAGAAACAAAAGTATGAGAGCGAACTGGAAAACCTCATTTGTGAAAGATGTATTTGTGGCTTTATGTGCCCTGTTGACACAGACGTTGAACCATAGGAATATGGAACCAAACTTATTCGATCACCTGCATTCACCTGAAAGCATTTGGCGTTATTTTTCATACATTCGATAAATCTCGACATCCCCATAATGGAACTGCGGAGATTTTTCAATCTAAAATCCTCGGTTCCTCTCCCATCGGCTTCAGTTTCTAAATAAAAAAATCAGGGCAAAATGAAATAATTCGAACATTGTCGCCGAGAAAAGAGTGTTTATAAACAGGTTCCACATAGAACCACGAGCCCTCATTTCCTGTCTTGTCCAAGTACACCTTCATCGCATTACGCTCCAGTTTTGCCGGAGAATTCTTCATCACAGTCAAATATTTGTCTGACTTGACGTGTAACAACTGAAAGACCATAACAAATTTCTCAACAGTTTCCAGATACGGAAGAGGTGTTCAGTTGGTGAATGATTCAAATTAAGTTGAACCAACAGTATTTTGCAATTTAACGGAATAAATGCGAAATGTCGTAATAGAAAGAAAGTGAAGAATTAAGATGAAATTGTTTTATGAATGACTGTTGTGTATGAAGACTGGATGTAATTGCTACCTGAACAGTGCCACCATATTGTACGGTAACACCGAGCATTTTGCGATATTCCATTTCGTTCTGCTCTTTCTCTTTATCGGCAGCATTCTTCAATTTTTTCAGCATATCTTCTTCAAATAACGACTCACCGGCTTGAAATTTCTTCTGTTCAGTCCAATATTGCTTCTGTGCAGCATAACGATTTATCGGGCAGATTCGAAACAAACAATCTACAATATCGTTTGCGTTTCGTGTATGCCGGATAACATCATCTTAAAAGCACTCTATTTCGAATGTGCAATCACTCCAAATAGCTATCATCTTCATGTAAAGAGCTTGTCTCATCTCCACAAGAGTTAGGTATGTTTGAATATATGTGAATTTATGACCGACTGCTTGCATATTCTCAGTCAATTAGTTTCGTGAAATAATTGCAAAACATGCTAGGCGATATGATGTTCAACTGCACTAAGGAGGCCATAATAGTATGAGCCTGATGAGAATAGTTATCGGAGTATTTTCTAAGATCGATAGTGAGAAGGAGAAGGGGAATAGATGGAGGAAAGGGGGAAGGAAGAAAAAATAAACGAAGAAAAGTCTACTCTAAAATTGAGCTATTTTTTGGGACCAAATCATCTTGCGCTTCTTCCCCTTCCTCTGGAGAAAAACCTGGCTGTGCCACTGAATCCGTATTATAGATATTGCCGCAATGACTTGAAATCACTTAAATGTTTCAGTGGTCCATGTTGATCAAATAATGAATATTGAGCAAACGGATAATAAATTGAGTATCAGATCAATCAATGAATGCGATTTTCCTCAGTTGGTTTAGCTCCAATCTATTCCTGAATGTGAAAAAAGACATACCACGAAACTTTTTAGGCGGCGAGTCAGGACCACCATCTCCTATCTCAACAATACATCTGTCATCGACAAGGCTGAAATCAGAATAATAACCTGATCTCAACATCGAGAAAGAACACTTGAGAAATGAACGAATCTGCACGTTTTCAAACGCATGTTCTACTGTATAATTTGTAAAAGTTGGTTTAGCAAGTTGTTCTAACGCGATTAAAGAGCAAGGCATGAATAGAGATCCGAGTCATCTAAAGAGTAAACTCATTAACGTTATATGTCCTTATATAAGGACAGATAATAGGTGTGCATTTTAAAAGTACTTATACTGTATTCAATACAATTCTGTGTTTGTAAGTAGCTTAGCCAAAGTCTGTAGAGAAAACAAAAATGCATATTTTAAAGTTTACACTCTTGTTTATCAAATCGAAATAGCTCTAGATAAACATGAACGATATCATGTCCGTTTTTAAAGCTTGATTTCTTGCTTATGGTAGACGGACGCTTTATTGATTTGTTCTGACGCCACTATATTACTGGATGATTAAACTTGCTAGTGCTGATAAACAAGAAGAAGCACAGTCCTCATATGAGGATGCTCGCTAGATATGTATTGGGTGACTGAGTGCTCGCAGTTCAAATAAGATGTACATTTTGATTAACGGTACTGCATCAAGATATTTCTTCGAAGAATTCACTCGTCACTTCCCTCCCGTTGAATTGGTCTCGCTTTAGAAACCTGGGGAAACTACATTCTCTTGAATTTTGGTAAAATGTATTGTTGGGTCTCTTCGCTGATTACTGTTGCTGTTGTTGTTTTCTTCGCTGCTGATTACCATCGTTAATGCGGATTGTTTTCATATAAGAAGAAACTTTATTGTTGTTAATAAAAAGAATATACTACTCTCAATGAATGCTTCATATTTACATATAAGCCTTCATGAACGCTGCATTCGATTGTTTAACTGGCAACAGGTGGCAGCATTAATGAGTATCAGTTGTTGAATGGTACTAAAAATCTGCTATGGCAAGGCTCCTCAGCACTACGGAACCATCGATAAAGGTGATTGGAAAGTTGGTAATTATCGCAATTTTGCGTAATAACTATCTTATAACTAATGGAAACATTTGACTGCTTTGCAGATAACCTCATTCTTCTTGCCTTCACAGAGCTTATCATGAGAATTTTTTCTGGCAGAAGTTCGTTGAAAGAATTATAAGAAACGAAATTTTTGAGTGATTATTTTATTACTGTAGTAAGTAGTGTCTTGCGAGGAAATTCATAATGAGTTAGAAGAAGAAGTATACCCAAGAGTGGAAAGGAATCCAGTTTTGACGAGGAGGCGGTCATCCGGTTTGTCATCGATAAGTCGATTACGATCTTCGGTATACAACGACACCACATCGCCAATATGCAACGAGGTGTTATGAAAGGCGTCAATGCTCAGATTCATCGACATACCTCCATACAATCGCCGCTTCTGCATTGCCTCCCCCCGTCCGTATATGTAACGACGGTATCTCGCACTGAAAATGGGCTATATGAACTTCACTTTTTGCATCAATCCATTTGTTTTTCATATGTGCATCTCAGCAGCTTTTAATTATTTACTTATCTGCCTATCTAGTTATGCGATTCAAAAATTGCTGATCAAAAGTTAAGATCAAGTACTTTGTAATAGCTGAAATGCTGTTTCATTTCGTGTTTTGTTCTTAAGAAAGTTTCATTCAAGATGACATCACCATGATATTATACAAAAAAATCTGTTTGTTTCTTTGAGTTCAAGTTCAGGTTTTCCTCGCGATTTCAAGTTTTAGAAAGCAATAAATGAAGCGCGTTTCATAAACGGTTCAACTTGCAACAACAGATTGTTGAATCTAGAATACATATGCTTGCATATTTTATATAATTTCAACCAATTATGAAAATCAAAGGAATTTTTCTGAATCACAAAAATAACCACCGACGTTTGAAGAGGCTACTCAAAGTGTCATCAAAAGTGAATCATGACAGGAATAATTAAATTAACGTCAGGTATCAATTTGAATGATACAGAGGAACAAAATTAAAAGCTTCTCACTTTAGCATCACATAAACAGTAATAAATTGTTAGATATGTCTAGTAATGAGGAAAAATGAATATTGAATACGTTTTTGCGAATTATGCCAATTTTTTGTGCATCTTGATTGCATCGTTCTTATACTATGCTCAAATGTGTAGATATTAAATTTCTTTTTGATCACGCAGAGGGATTCCCTTACAAAGAATTGCTTCTTATTTGTATCTTATTCAAAGGATTTTCAACTAGCACATTCAATTGATTTCATCTGAACTGAAATTATCGTTAAACAATTCAAATTATCGTAAACAGAACGAAAATTTGAGCTAAATTCACTGACGAGGAAAGCATAACCTAAGTCACCTGAATTCATTTTTATCAAAATCAACTTATGGGGGCAAGTGTGGATTTTTCATATACGCGGAAACGATGTAGTTCGGAGTTTCTCATAAGAGGAAAATTCCCTCTGAAGAGAACTGAGGAGGCTGGTGAATCAATGTTGACTGATTTTTCTTTTTATGTCCTCTATGAATGTTCAATAATGTTTTCGGAATGCATATCGATTAAAGTGAAGCAATTCCACTGAGATCAGAGATGAAAGCTTGACATGTAACTTCTTTCACTTTCTTCATTTTCGTTTAATTCGCCACAAAGAGCTTTAATTCGTCACAAGTAAAGTTTGACAGCATTGATTTCCCAGGGATGAGGAGATTTACGGTTATATGAATTGCTGGAATGGGGAATAGCGGTCTGGACATGGAGTGCGAGAGAGTGAAAACCGCTGATACTGGTTAAAATTATATGCTGTGGGAAGTGACAAGAACAAAGACTGAAACAGCTGAAGGTCACATGATGATCTGGATAAGGATCCAACTGAATGAAAGAAGAGCAACGAAAACTGAACGAGAGGATGGCACTGAATAATAATGTATGATATTTCAGATGAGTACAAAAATTGAGTGCTGTTAAACTTTTCACTCAATGCACCAATCAATCCATCCACTTCAGTATTCAAATACACAAAATCAACTTCTTCATCGCTTACAAATAAATTATTCTAAAAGCCATACCGCTCTACTTCATCTTTTTATCGCATTCATTGTGATCTACTGTAGACTTGAACCCACTCGTTGCATTCAGTTTGGCGTCAATATTACAGTTTTTTGAGGATTTCGATCTGATTTTCTAATTTACTTCATATTATCAGTCGCTTATATTTCCTATACCAAAAGCATATGCAACCATGTGATCAATGGAGAGTGCATTATAAAAAGAACGGTTTCGATTCATTGCAAACAAAAAAAAACAACAAAGTTCATGTTTATAATTGAATTCTTCGAGATAGAATCTATCAAATGTTTCATGTATAAAATGTGGCATAAGACAGTTCATCCATTAAACGTCTTATCTCTACCATATACTAAGCTGCCGGTGTAATGATAACTATTATTCAGTTTTAAGGAGATGGCTAAGCAACAAAAAACTAGTCATTTCAGTTGCAAAAGACAGATTCTGATGAAGTGCACCAAATACCTCATCATTTAGTTATGAGTGTCAATACAAAAAACATTCTTTTTTGTGTTCATTCATCCAGTAATATAAGTACACATAATTGCGATACACAGCTGCATTCATGTTACTGTTTCACTGATGTAACGATTCAATAATCAGCTATATGTCTTTGATTACACGACTCGTTCGTTTCATTTGTACTCGACTTCGCTTCTTGAATTCAGTTCACTTCAAAATGCCATTTTTACTTGACTATGATGGCTGTTTAGCACCTCCACAAACCAATATACAAGTTACAATATCACTGGAAATTTATTGCTCAAGTTTCTTCGGATATCAGCAGCACATCTGATAACCTTCTCAGGGAAACGGCTCTCGGAACGGAGGATTTTAATCATCCTTCGACTGCCACAGCATCTCATCAGTTCAATGATATGTTACAGTCACTTAAAGAGACTCCTGGTGAAAGTGCTGATGCAGTAATAAAAGTAAATGATACAATAATAATACTAATGTCATCCTATAAAAATTTTTCGTGAGAATCTGTGATGGACTGTTTTGATAAAGTCATAGTTATTTAGAGGTAGAGCATGGATACGAATGGATGGAGCAAGGATGTTTTGAGTTAATTCAAGTGAAATGATACGTTGCGATGAAACCTTTGCAGAATTTTAATTGTCACTTGATGAGAATAACCAAAAAATGCTTTGAATAGTCGAAAGCCGAGGGAAAACTGAGGAAATACAACATTATAGCACTTACTCTGTTGACAATGTATTACCCATTGGGACGTAGAGGTGCCAAAATAGGCAACGAATAAAAGAATAATTCAGTATGATAACAATAATAATAAGACAGAATGAAGACTGAGATTGTAAAAACCTTTCTTCACAAAGAAGCGGGATGACGATGATAAACATGTGAAATTTATGACGATAAATGCATCAAGAAGTAAAAGCGATGAGAATGTTCTAATGTGATCGCTACTTTTCTAAGCGAAATCACACTGAATACTAAATGATGACTGAATGTGATTTCATCAACATTTGCCTGCTTATTTCATCGAAGTTTCTTAAAAAATCATTCATATATGAATATATATATATATATATATATATA